ATTTGTGAATATTAAATAGACCGCTATCTCACCACTTTGGGTGACTATAGCCTGTGAGATTTGATCAAGCTCCTTTTGTCTTGAGTGTAACTATAAAGCTCAGCATACTTGATTTCATGCCGCAGTGATATCTATTCATGTAACAAGGCGTCTAACGTGTTTGTTTGTGAATATTACTCCAGTACTCATTAGTGCTTTAGAATGCCTGCTTGTTTGCAAAAATGTATGTGTTTCCCATTATACTGTGTAAATTGGCCTATGAATTTTTCTGTGACTTTTATTCGTTTCTCAAATGAGTTTGTTTTGGAATATAAGTGTCTTTAAAATAATTGTAAATTTATTCCAGAATTTTATTTTGAGGCATTTATCTTTAGGGATTTTAGACTTTAGAAATTTTGGTCTTTCAGGATTTCAACTTTAAGTAACATAATGTCTCTATTTATGTAGTTTAGAATTAAGCCCAAATGCTTTCATTATACAACTTTGGAACCAGTAGAAATATTCATCAGTGATTTTCACCATCTTTGCAAAGGATTTCTGTTTCCAATGACTTTTTTATTCCTTTTTCAGAATCTTATTTTCCAGTTTCCTCTCTTGTATAACAGTGTTCAGTGAATGCTCAGTTGTTATTAGAACATTTCACTCTCTTGGACTTTATTAACTTCTACTAGTGTTTAAGATTTATTTTGGTAGGCAGTACTCATTCAACTTTGCTCCCTTGAATCTTGTTTGTAAGCCTTGCTGGGCTCCTTCGGTAAGCCTGAGCAATGGAACCCTTCTAGTACTAATTGTAGAACAATCCTTCTGAGTTTTCATTAAACCTGTTCATTGTTTAGTTTGTTTGATTCTGAGTGGTTGGTAATGAAACGTCCTCGGGAGCACTAAAGCATTTCACTTGACGCTCTTTCTGCCGGTGTTGTCAGGGCTGTGGCTCACCACTGCGTGCAGATGCACATTTCCATCCTGAAAAAGATGTAAGATGAACCCTGAGTATCATTAAAAATTCTTTTTCCACACCATTCCCAACTTTCTGGTACCATGTTACACTAATTTCACAGAATCACCTCCTTTGTTTTTAATATTAATTTTATTGAGAAAGAAATAGCATTGAGATGATTTCAAAACAGGTTAATAGGACAGTTACAATAATTAATACTTTGCATATTGTTGTCTTTGTATTAATTATTCAGAGGACAAGATGCAGACATGATACCTTGTCTAAATATTGTAATTTCAAAACTTTCTACTCATTGAACTAAGAGAAAGCAGCTGTATATCTATGCCAACTATTTTGTATATACAGACATAAATATATTTTTCACTATGAAATGGTCCTTTGTTTATATTCCCCTTTTTGTTTACTTCTGTCAGAGAAGGGTATTCCATTGCCATTCAAATATTGTAGTACATGAATTCAGCAAAGTAATCTAATACAGTCCAGTAGTCCATAATAGTAACTCAGTGGTGTCCAAAATTTTCTGATCAAGGAGATTATGGGGTCACAGAGGAAAGTGACTGACGATGTAGAGTGTGCCTAAGGAGAGTCACATGAAGAGAAAATATTCTCTCAGGCTTTCACAGAGAGCAAACTGGTCAGGCAATGACCATGACTCATCCACATGGCTGACACTGACAAAGGATCTGCGAACTGCGGTACAGGGTTTCAGGGTAAATCCTGAGGGGATTTGACTGACCTTGTCAGATATAAAAGTTACAGTTTTTTGTTATATAAGTCTTGCTTTATTTTGGTCTTAACCATCCTACAGAAAAGTATAAAAATGAGGTATAAAAAGCAAAGCCATATTAATATGCTAAGCTGTAAAAGGCTCACGTCAGTAACTTCTGACATTGCCAGGCCTGTGGTTAATCACCTCCTTTAATGTTGAAAGTTTCGCCTTGACTGCAGAGTTCATTGGCTTATTTCTCTTCTTTCTAGATGATATTTTGGTGGTTGCTGTCACATCTGGAACATCTGTTTTGCTTTATTTTTTCACTTCTCTAGCTTTTAATGGAAAGAGTTTTGGGCCAGTGCCTAATCCTCCACAATGACCCCAGCACTTATTTTCTCACACTAATTTTTGTCAAAATCTCTTAGATATTTCAGTTCACAGAGTAGTCCCTTCAACAGCCAGTGCACAAACACTTGGACATTTGTATTTAAAACAAAAAGAGAACTTTCATCTCTCCAACTTTAATTGACAAACTATTACAAAGAAAAAGAAACCACTGATAATTATACATAGAGGCAAATCAAGGACTTGTGAAATCTCGACTGAAATATTTAAAAGAAATATGTCAGGACAATGAGATATGAACATATTTCATAGATAAGGCACAATAAACAAAGTTCCTTGGCCTACAGCTGCACAGTCTCCCATGTCCTCCTTTGTGACTGTGGTGATGTAGCCTCATCCACATCCTTTTTTGTAAGGTCATAGAAGGAATCATACTAGGTCCTTTTAGGATCTCCTCACCTGTGATATCTGAATCAGAGCAGCTTCCCCATCTTGGATATTTTCCCTTCAGTGAGCGTCCTTTGAAGCTCATTTAGGAAGGGTACTCCTGTGCTCGGGATCTCCTGAAGGTAGCTTTCCACCCACTGCCTCCTGAGCCAGCATGTGGCTGTCAATTCATGGCAGCATGCAGTATCTAGACTTGAGACCCATCTCTCTCCTTTATTATGAATCTTATAAAAGTTCTATATAAGGGTTTTACTTTTTAACCATTTTAACAAGGGTAAGAAAAATCCTTTCTTTGACATTAAATGAAGTAAAATGGGGAGACAAAATCCTTAAGAATATGTTAATGGGATTTACTTTGGCTTGAGCTAGAAACAGTAAACATCAGTGAATACTTAAGTTCATTTATGAATCTGGAGGAAGGTTATGAACCTATTGAATCAGAATAATTCCTTGTCAAAGAAATGCCAGAAAATGGTTTATACCACACACAGAGTTACGATAAAGACCTAGAGGGGTCTGTGGAATGTAAATATTGTTCACTTCACTCATCCTCTACTGCTACAGCATTAAACCTTAACCTTTTGAGGACAACGGGGTGAGATGTTGCTACAAGATCATCCTCACTGTTTGCCACTCAATTAATTTGGAGACACGTCTTGATCAATAAAAGATTATTCCAGGGGATTTAGTAATGATCAAGTTTGAGAACTAAATTAGATAAATTAAGATAGGAGGTCAATAGAAAAAACAATGTATTAAAAACAGCTACCAACCATAGTTCATTCCACTTAAATGTAATGCTTTCTTCTCTAAAACAATGAAACAGTATCACGTTTAAAGGATTGAGTTATGATATATAATAGTCTTCACTACTCATCAATATTCAGAGTGTTCTCATAACAGATCTCATAAATAAAAGAAGAATGAAAATGAGAGAGAGAGAGAGAGAGAGAGAGAGAGAGAAAGAGAGAGAGAGAATAACAGAAGAAGGAAAAGAAAGAATGAAAGGGAAGGGAAAGGAAGGATAAAGGAAAGGGTGAAAAAAAGTAAAATAATTTTACGGAGGAGTTCTCATTTTAACTACATAGGCCAATATTTAGGCATGTTATTAATGCTATTGACTTATGAAAGTTATTTATTTCTAATAAGGGTGTGGGTGACAGTGGTTATTCCCCTTTGGGATAAGTTCTTTTGGAAGGAAAGTTCCACTCCTGCTTTAGCAATACTTAAGAGTTACAATGTATCATTATATGGCTCCTACTCATAAGGTAGATGACATTAAATATTGGAATGATGCATGCTAAATCATCCCTTGCTGTATGCTGAGTACAAATATCTTCAAAGAATCATTCCTTGAATGAACAAAGACTCTTCTCTCCTGATTTATTTAAAACATTTCACAGTACTGAGCTTTCAAGAATTTCAACACAGACACAGAGGAAAAAGCAAACGAAACATCCTTTCAATCTGGGACAGCTGTATGGCCAGACAGCACAATAGCAAACAAAGCACAAAACAGTGCTTGGAATTGTGTGGGAGTTGTAAGAATCTTAAAATTGAGAAATGTATTCATTCTTGTATTTTGTCTCCCTTTAAGTTCAATTTGGTCAACACCACTCCCACAGGAGGCCTCTGACCTCGTTTTGTATGAAAAAGTGCTGTACCAGTTTGTGGTTTATTCCTGGAGAAAAAAAGTTCCTCTAAATTCTGCATATTTTACAAAGATCTTGGCCTTCCATCACCCTGCCCACTGAAGTCTATTTTCTACAGTTATGGAGACCAGAGATGGAACATGCTGTGTACAATGATGCAGATACAATGTTTCGAAGCATCTAGGTTAGAAATGTGTGTAGCTCAGGGCTGGAGCCTGTGCTGGGGGTGCTCTGGGTGCTGGGCACCATCCCTAACCCTCAACCAAGACTCTGGGAGTGGTACATCTCAGATGGCTGTGGAGTGTCTGGGGAATAAATATCAATTAGTGAACCTTCGTCAAGTATGGAAGACTACAAGGGCTAACAGATGTGTCTTGTCTTACACTGAGCAGAAAGATCCCAGTCTTGATGCTTGGAGTGAAAACATACCCTCTGCAATATCTACTAGAGATTGTATGGAGATGCTAAAACTAGAACCTCAAGCAGTGTATATTCACACCATAAATTTGCTGCTACATTAAAAGATGGCAGAAAAAGACCATATACAGAAAAGAGCTCTACAATTCAGAAACTAGTAACATTGCTGAGTTGAATCCAAATTATTTCATAAAATTACTTATACAAATGTATAAACATAAATTAACTGTAAGGCTGAGTTTTATCTTTTTAAATGAAGGTTTTAATGCTAATACATGATAATTTTTAAGAATAAAAGGCAAACGGCTTTACATCAAAGACTTTAATTCATCTTTTTCACAAATTCATTATACTTGGCATCAAGAAAATGTAATCTGTGAATCAAACTTAAGATAATGTTATGGAGTTATTTAAGTGAATTTTTCAGATTTTATCACTTCCCTGTATAAAGCTGTGTTTCTTTTCTCAGAACAAAAGCTTGAAAAACAAACTTTTATCAGGAAGCAAGCTCTGTGGAATGCATGCAGAAGAGGTAAGGACCTTTCTCCACTCTCTAGGCTGGTTGAACACAGTAATCCATGCCAGAATAATTTTTGACATGTTAATCTAGATAACTAGTAACTGTTTCTCAAGCAAATATAACACTTGGAGGGAAATAATAAAAACACATTTTGCATATTTGGATGTACATAAATGCTTTACATTAAAAAATAACATAAATCAGTTAAGTGTCACTTTCATGAATTGTTATTCTGGACGAGATTCCAGCCTTAATTATACAGTAATACCTTGGTCCATCAATGCTTTTGTTCAAGAACAGTTTGGTTTCTGGGTCAAGCATTTGGAACATTTTTTCCATTATCAAATTCCCCATCAGTAACATTGAAAAATATGGAGGACATTGCTTCCTTTGTGCCCCAAATCTTAGAACCAAATTAAGTTCATCCACCAAGGTGCCCTCTTGTTGATGGAGTTTCCAGTTCATATCCCACCCCATTTTCCTTTGTGCTGTTCTTTCCCCATCCCTGTGATGTCTGTGTTTTGTCCTGATGACTGATTGTCAGAATGAGAATTTGGGGATTGATCTCATACTTTATGAAACAGAGTCATTGGTTTTATTTGCTGTACATGAAAATTGTCTGATACATATTTCATGGAGGAAAATCAAGTTATTTTAGTCTTTATAGATTAGACTAAAATCACTTTTGTGTATTGCTTACCCTGAAATCTGTCCATGAGGTGTGTTCATTCATGACGCAGAAGTCCTACTAAGCAATGTTAACTGATAGAGATGGAAAGGCAAGGATATCATCAAAAGGCAGTTGTTGATTTCTCACAGGAAGAAGACAAGACCCCCTTGTCAGTTGGGTTCTTCAAGTAGCAAACACAGAGGTGGATAAAATGAGTGTGAAATTTATTCTAGTCTAAGCCTGTGATTGCTGAGGGAAGGCCTGAGAGTCTCTCACTTCATGGAAGGAAATGGAGAGAGGAGGGTGCGGTAGACAAGAAGCAGTGACTTGCACAGGTTCACATTTCTCCCCTTTCTATACCTCTGCAGAAGCGTAGCCGAGAGTGCTCAGACAGATCTGTGGCCCCAAAGGACTCACCACCCCTCACTAAAATCCCTCTCCTGGTGCCCTTCATCTTTATGCAGTTGAAAAGAAGGTGACCTGTGAGCACAACCCCTACTCTTCAGTGCTCTGAGGAAGAAATAGAACTAGGACATAAGTTTAGCCAAGAAGAGGGAACAGAAAACTATTGTTACAGTATTACAATAGCAGGCAAGGCATGTGTCCAGCCCAAACTTGAACTTCCTTTATTAAATAAGGAGAAAATTCTCTTCCATAAGCAAAAAATAATAATCATAATAACCACCACTCCAGTTTAAATCTAACATGCAATACAATGTTTTTGATAATACCTTTCCAAAACTAATGGAACAAATGAATGGAAATGTTCCATTCATAGGAACTAATGTTCATGTTCCATAAGATGAAAACTTAGACTTAACTGTTTATTGATTTGACTGAGCATAATTTTATTCCATTTCCAATTTGTATTTGTGTGGAAATAGACCTGACAAAGTTTATATTTATGAAGGTCCTCAAAGTAGAAAAAAGTAGCCTGTACAGGGTTTGAATATGACTTACACTGGAGAGGCATGTAGAATGACGTTTTGTAGAAGTGCTACTTACCCAAAAACTGTATTCTGAGATAGGCATGTTCCCGGGATTGACTCAGGAGCAAGAAAGAGCAATAAAATACCTGTAATTTTTAGAAAAAATAGGGTCAATCTTTACTATTTAGGCTCTTAGTTTAAGATTGACTTTTTTTTATCTCAATGCCTCTGAAGATACATTATTTCAACATGATTCTTCTATACTTGATGCTATCATTGTCTAATGTTTGAAATGTAATGGGCTCTTCACAGTATATTTCTTTGCCTTACTTTGTTAATAATTCATGCAGTGAATGTAGAGCTTCCCATACTAGGTCATAGGGATATATTTAGTCTGTTACAAGAAAATTTCAATGCAATGTGATGGCAAAGGGGGTCATTGGATTTATCTCATTAGCAAAAACAAAACAATGTTTTCTTCTAATTGAGGTTCTGCAAAGGACCTTATCCTTATATAAATAACCATAAACATTTAGTATTCTTGCATACACGTGTTTGTCATGTCAGAGCATTAACAAAGGTGGCTACTGCGAACTCTTCATCCTCCTCACTGCTAGGATCACAGAAGAAATTAATTTTGAAGAAACAATGGTAAAAAAAGATAAGTGCAGAACATGTCCAATCAGCTTAGCTGCCATGACTTGTCCTGCTTGCCTACTTCTTCATGGTCTTCAACATCTTACCGCCATTCTCACCTTGATTTCCAGCTTTTGAGGCGGTGGAACTTTGTGGGGAAACTTTCATGTCCCACTTGTGGCAACTCTGAGAGTGTTACTTCATGTTGTTATGTAGTAAAACAACAAAAAAAATTACTGAAATACCAAACATGGGAATATTCAGTTGTATGGGAAATCAACCATTTGGTAATGCCAACCTTTCAACATGTGCCTCAAAAGCTAGAGTCACCATGGAAATTGCTTTCAGATCAATGAACATTACAAAAGTTGGCCTCAGTCAGAAAGTATTGATTCTTGCTGTAATTTTCCATCAAGTTCTCAGAATCGATTCTGCTGGTTAACTTACTGAAAATTAGAAAAGTGCTGGCATATGCTCTACAAAAGACAGAGAGATGGTAAGAACAACTTCAGAAAGTTATTTTTATACCATTCTAACAAAACTCAAGAGATCTACCATCTATCAAATCATAGCCACTAAATACAGAAAAATAATTGAAAGGCAAACAGTTTTATTTTCTTGCCAGCTCCCATAAGAAGTACTGCATAAGATTATAGTTGATGTTTAACAAGGGTTACAAATTAAGAAAAAATGTTTAAATTATAGTCTTCACATTCAGGGGAATATATGTATTTCAAATGATTACAATTACTTATGTCTGACACCAAAAATAGAAGCAATGTCACAGAAAACTGTAATTGTACTTAGTGAATTATGTACAGGTTATGTGGCATAATCTCACATTCCACTTGATACCTGTAAATACAATTTGAAAATACAGGAATTTTTTTGAAAGACCTCTGTCCTCACTATGAATGTGTCCCAGATACCAGGCATTATCAAGAAGTCTAAAATGCTGATTAACCCTTTATTGAAAATTTTAGAAGATGGTAGAAATCCTTCCTTACTGAAATTAGTAGTACAAAGTAATAATCCTTTGCAAATGACAACTTAGAAAGCCAACATGAGGCAGAGAGATCGTGTCTGAAATTTGATTGTACATCATGTGAGAAGGCGTGGAAAGGACAGAGTTATAGTAAGTATTTTTTTATTAATTTTATTGAGAAACAGCAATGAGACAGTTTCAAAGCTGATGAATAGGACAGTTTCAATAATTAATACATTGCATACTGTTATTCATAGTTCAAGATGCAGTAAGTATTAAATGTCAAGTAAGAAATAAAAATTTAAAAGGGTTCAGTGCTCAGGTGAGTTTATATTCTTAAAGGCCATTAACAGTCACAGTTAGTCAATGGTGATGATTTTGTTTTCTTAGATATAACTAAATTCATATTACTAATCCTATTAAGAACAAAAAAGAATGACATTTTTTATATAAGTGAGAAAACACTGCCTTGCAGGAAACACAAATTGTGTTGCTTTCGTGTTAAGAATTTAATTGTAATACAGAATTGTTAACAAAATCAAACCCCTTCCTTTTTCCTTTGCTTCTTCTCTACCTTTCTGCCTTTTGTCCCTTTTTCACCCCTTCCTTCTTCTCTTCATCTTTCCTGTTCTTCTTTTTTATTAAATATATTACGAGACATAGGTAGTGCCCAATAGAAATTCTTTTTTTTTTTTTTTTTTTTTT